AAAATTTTCTCAATCTCTCCCTCTCTTCGATCAAGGTGCTACCAAAAGCATGATCCCGAGACCCAAGAGGATAGCGAGGAAGAGCCAGTGGTGGTGTTCGAGGGGAACTCACTGAAGAAACGTTCTTCAAAGGTTTGATTTTTCCCCTATATTTCCTTCTTTCAATTTCGGTTTTGTATCCCGAAATCAGCAACGAAGATCCGCTTCCGCTCCGGGATTTACATCCCTTCACATCTCACCTTGAAGAATCGCCAGATTTCTTGTGGCCGGCCATTCTGATCACAGCTTGAGGCTGGCCGTTGAACTCCAACAAATCCGATCAACAATGCAGGTGAAGGCTGAAATTGCGTGGGTTGTTGAAGATCTGGGAGTCGGAGGTCGGAGGACGTTGAGAATCCGTCCAAAACACAAGTTGTTGTCACTAYTGGATTGGGTCGCCGCTGGTGTCGCCGACGAGGGCTATTTGAAAGGAAGAAGAAGAGAGAGGGGGAAGGGTAGGCGGCCCCTGCAAGAGGGGAAGAAAAAATGAGTTTTAGGGTTTCAATTTAATTTTGTTTTCTTTTCTTTTATTTAACAAAAGAAACAAATTCATGATAAACCACCAATAGACTAATGTTCTAAAGAAATTAAGAGGAATAGACATTTCCTAATCTCTTTCTAAAATTAAAAATCCAATTAAAATAACAAGTGTTTGGAAAAAGATTTAAGAGAATAACTTAATTTTAAAACCAGAAGAATAAAATCTAAAAGGAAAAACTAAATTAAGACTTGATTAAAATCCTCTTTGTAAAATTGGCTAACTTAATTTATYTTCGTCCAACAAAATTAAACTTGAATTCTAATTTAAATCCTAACTTACCCAAAAATAGAAGTATTTAAATTATCAGTTTAGGGGAAAATCCGAAAGTACAAATTAAATCTTAAAAGTAAACTAACCCGATAATGCAAGTCGTTACATTTAGGGTGAAAAATAATATAAAATAATGGAAATTGACTCATTCCTAAATATTTTTTCTTTTAAAATGAAATAGAAATACGAAAATAATATTTATTTTTAAGGGGATTCAAAATTTATTAGTGGAAATTTCTACCACCTAAATTTTCTTGTTAACTTAAATTGTAACAATCCCTAAAAAAATAGTATATTCCATCAAATTAGCTTCAAAGATTTTAAGCTAATTAATTACTTTTTTTTTTCTCTATGTTTTTTAAACGTCACAAAAAATCAACTTTTTGACGACCATTTTGTGACAGTTAAAAACGGAACACTCCGTCATTTTCCGCCAAAAACGCGCCTCAACCTTTTGTGACGTTTTTTAATCGTCACGCAAAACCAACTTTTTGAGCACCATTTTATGACGGTTAAAAAATGTCACGAAAGGTCAAATATCCGAAAATCTCCATTTTTTCCCTCCAAACATGCATTTTTTGCCTTTCGTGAGGCATAATTTTATTTTGAACAGTATTTTACTGTTCATGAGCGTCACGAAAACTCAATTTTCTAATAGTGGAGAAATAAATTTTAGAGGGTATCAAAACGAGTGTCCAAAATACAATATGATTRCCTACTATGGATTAAGTTCACGTATCAACGATAATATGGAACTCTTCAGCATATATAATGTAAATCTTTTGTCAATTCAAGCATAACTTAGTAAATAARCCATCTGTCAAGTTCAAAAGTACAATCTCCCACTCATGAACTAAAAAAAATCAATGAAAATTTACTTACAATTTCAAAATCTAAAAAAGGAAACTTGGGTGTTTACTTCCATATTGCTTGCAAGATTGGCCTTATCACACCCAATTACTTTTTGAATCAAAATAAAAATTGGAAAGGAGAATGAAGGAATGATATATATAGAAGAATGGGCAGTTTATTAGGATGTGAGAAAAAATTAAGATTCAGATGAGAAGTGAGGAAGCAAGATTCTTTCTTTTTCCTTTTTCCCTCCCCTTTCATTTTGAATTGATTACAACACCATGTGTTGAACCTCTCTATGACCCTAACCCCAAACATTCAATTTTCAAAATACTAACAAAAAAAATGGCCATAGAAATCACTTTTTTCAACCTTCAATGATTAATCTGCTTCCTCCTCAAAAGCTTTCAATCGGCTACAACTTCCCTTAGCGCAACCGATTGGTTCCGGGGATCCTCATTTTAAGACCTTCCTGCCGAGTAAGGACGAAAGTCGGTCTTTACTCTTTAGTGATCCACCTTCCCTACACCTGCAAAGTCGTGTGAAACTCAATTTAGTTATGCAGTTGATACAACCTTTTTTTTCACTCTATCTTTTTCTAAATGATCGTAAATTCGAATCTTCACCCCATGATGTGATTTTTAAAAAGAAAAAGGAAACATAMATTCTTCTCTAACCTTGCTCTCTTTAATGGTCTCTCTCTCTGTTACTTTCTTTTCTTTTCTCTAACTTTATCTTCCACTCTATAACACATATCAAGTCATTATCAAACATATATGATATTTTTTTTGTTTCTATGAAAACATTAAACCAAAAACTAAGGCCACATTATTCAAAACATTGAGAATTCGGTAGTCTGAAAATTTAGGATATGTGAAATATATACTGAAACTAGTGAATAATGTCTCCAACCCTGTTGTTTGCAGTGATCAGCCACAGAAATTAAGATAGAAAATACTCACCTGAATCCTGATTATCACTCTTCTAATTTGCCATAACCTCCTGATTCAATTCTCCAAATATATCCGGGCAGTCGTCCCATTTCCGTTCATTCCTTGCTTCCCAATATCCTCCGACGTACCGAAAGGTTCCGTCTTCACTCTCTCTCTGAAACCATCTTGGCTTCCACCCGTTCTCTTGTAACTTCCTCGACTGAAATATACGAACGATAATGAATCACAAAGAGAAAACCACAAGTAGAAATTGAAAAGGCGAGAGGAAAGAAGAGGTTGCAACGTACGATTCTTTGCCTTTGTTCCAACCGTAGCTTCTCCACATTGGCCTTATCGTATTCGCCATTTTCGAGATGCCGTTGGTCTGGTCGAAGTCTGGAATCCGTGGGGGGGAGCATCTCCTTAATTCCGTGATCAAATATCCAGGATCAGACAAAGCTATACAAAACAATTAGAGATGTACGAAAGGGGTATGTATATGGTATAGGCAAATGCATGCTAAATGACTAATAATTTTCCCTATACCTTGAGCCCTGGTGTAAGCTCATTCAGAGTGATTGCAAATGAAGTCAAATTGTATCGGGTGAGGTTCGGGGGCGGTTCGCTGCTTTTCCACAACAAGGTACCATTGCAACTCTTTGAATTATTTACATTCTCGTGGCCATTTATATAATACATGCTGTCGTCCCACTTCCCAAACAATGTCGATACTTTTTTCCCGGTAGAATCTTCGACGTATCCGTGAACCTATATAGATGATGTAGAATAGATTTGAACAAGTTTCACTATGGAAAAAACAGGGCAAAAACTGTCACAGAAGATTGAAGACGAACCTGGTGGGGATTTCGATCAAGTAAAGATTGCTCTTTGAACTTGAGGCTGCATGAATATTCCCGATTACCGCGTACTTGCATGATACCGTGGTGATCACAATACAATTTCCCGAGTATGAGATTATAGATATTTGTTGTCACCTGAGAGAATAATAAAATGAAATTCATGGGAAGAAATCTAACAACTTTGATATACGGTAAGAAATAGAATCATATATATTAATTTTGGTATTTGGTTGACAATAGCAAAGCAAGATATACCTTGCTCCACTGGAAGATCTCGCCATCATCGAACTCAAGAGTCAGAACTCCAACAGGATCGAGCTGAATCGACCTTCCCCAGAATTTGGACTGAAGGTTGCTATCTCCCCAAAACTTCCACCCTCTCCCTTCGCAATGGCATGCAATCAGGGTCGGGTGGTGGCTCACCTTCTCTGAGAAGAACCGAATTCCTTTCTCTGGAAAATCCGCTTCGTAAGTCTCCCCCAGCAGAGGATTGAACGGCTTGCAGTGCCTCCCTCCCGAGGAAGCGTACCCCGAAACTGCAAATGCTGCAACATTTGCAATCCTCTGCACACCATTTCCCTGCACATACAAGACAAGTTCCCAATTTCATTTCAATGCATAACTACACATGCTGAAAACTTGCCTGAAGTTTAAAAACCTATATTAGACGCTCTTCGAAGTTCAAATATCCATAAGACATAACCTTTCAGGGACAAAACTTGTAATTCAACCCAAAGTTTTTTATATTTTCTATTAGTCTCACCAGTTTTCCTTGCTCATATGCCTGATCCAATAGATATGAATACTCCAAATCTTCACAGCATTTCTGAAGGGATGATATCGGTTCGTTGAAGTAGACGGGGAGGCATACTCGTGTAAGATCCTTTCCTACATTGTCTTTGATCATTGACCACAGGCTCACTCGTTTCTCCTTCTCCACTGGCTCAGGAAGCCGTTTTCGCCTTTGAATGTGCGAATATCTGGAGTTCTGCAGCTCTAACTCCCTCATGTCACCATTGCTATCAACTCCATCATCTTCTAAACCTACTCTATACGACCTGCCATCGATGTCATCGACAAAAGGTTCGCTAAAGCATTCTCTAGTGTCATAAAATGACACTTCGTCTTCGTCCGAAACCTCCTCCTCAAGCTCTTGCTTCTCAATGTCGTCCGACGTGGTACTGCATTCTACAAACCAGATGAAAGTAACCAATATGAATCTTCAGACGAAACCATTCATTTCATGAACTACTCTTTTAACAGTTAATAAAATTTTATGCATAGTTGAGACTAATACAGTAACCAATTTGTTCCATGTGGCGAATAGCATTTTTCATACACCTATCAAACTTAAACAACATTACTTTATCAAATCACATCTCACATTTCAATCTCCCAAGAGACATCAAAACCATATATCTTAAGATTTTAACGAAACAGAGAAGGAACCTAGACTTGACTACCATAAGCAGCAGAATTTTCTTTTGCTTTAAAGATTTGACATGCATTTCTATCAAACATATACCACACACTGAGACAAGAAAGAAAAAAAAAAGTACACTTGAAACCAGAGTTCAATCAAATAAGGAAAACAAAATATAAGGGAAAGAACCACTATATTTTCCACGTTCTTCGGAGGAAAGATCATGCTTCGTCAGTTGGAATTCACCATCAGTCATTCCAGAAACTTCAGCCTCAAAATTAGCAGCCTGGATATAGCATGGTAAAATCTACTATCAGGCACATGAGCAAGATCATATACACTAAACCATTTGAAGTCAACCAACAAGTATCAATTTATCGACCCGATTGAGACTAAACATACACCGAGCACAAGGACATTGTGCCCCAAAGGACAAACTTATATTAGAGAAAGAAAAGAAGTGCTCAAGTTAGATGTAATCATTGCCTAAGTTAAACTCAGATGCATGTATACACTTAACATAGTCCGTTAACAGATCAATACTTCACATATCTCAGACATGAAGTAATCTACTTAAAAAATTCATATTCCATTTGTTTATCGATTATGCCGAAGCGAGCTAGCATTAAGTAACTGGCATTCATATGCATGTGAATATAGAATATCCTAAGATGATCATATATAATACAAATGGTCTAAAAGATAAGAGCTGCCTCCAATCGACACAATACTAACAATGCCGAGAAGGAAAGGGCTTCTAAAGAAGAAACATTACCTCCAACTGCCTAATTGTATCAAGCAAGTTACATCGTTCTTCACAGAGAACTTGAACCTGCCCTTGAATTTCCAAGAATTCGGAGAGCATTATCTGTTCGCATTCATTTACAACAGTTTCTCCTATTCCGTCTTCGATTAAACGCTTCTTTAGTCTCTCAGTAGATACCGATAAATCACTCGGCATGGGGGAGAGACTATAATTCAGCGTGGTTAGAGGACACATGCCGCGATTGGAGGCCAGAGCTTGAATCCAAGCCCCTCGGTCACTCTTTGAATTAGTTCTCAAGTGAAGAGTCTTTGTGGCAGTGAATATATAGAATCTCCTATCATCCGACTTGCTCTCTCGAAATGATGCAATCTGTGTAGACAAATTTCAGGTATCATAAAATGGCACATTCAAAGCATACAATAGTAGTAGAGAAAAGCCATTATAACACACATTCTTCTACTTTTACTTCTCCCAAAACCAAACCCAGAAGATTATGAACAATAACACCCGCTGGAGAGAAGTAGGAAACCTACCCAATGCCTAAAATTCCCCCTTTTCTTCTTCTTTCTTTTGGTGGTGGTTTCCTTTTGATTATATCCATAAGCAAGCCGCATAGTAATTCGCTTTAGAGTGAACTCTTAAAAGGGTAGCCCCCAAAAGAGGGAAATAAACTTAATAGGAAAAAATGGAGTCAATCAATAAACACAATCCTTCAACCTAACCTCTTTTTTTGTGTTGTCGGCTAAAGCAGAAAACTAAAAGAAATAAACAAATTTTTGAAGCTTTTAAATTTGCAAGTACGGACACCTTCCGCAAAATAACTTCGAGGTGAAATGAAATTAATCTTTGAAACAGTAAAAGGAAGGAGGAAAAAGTAGAGAAAGAAAGATAGAATTTGAAGGGTGATTTCATGTCCAACAAAAAGGATGACCCTCGTCCATCAGTTCATGAATAATAATAATAATCATAACCCTAGAGATGAGCAAAAAGAAACTAAAATGGCTCCCCTAATCCACCTGCGGATGTGACCCACTCAGACATCAACAAGCAGTTAAAAAGTGTGAAGAAAGAAATTCCAATTAAGAGGAAGACCCAGAAGAAAAAAGAGATAGAAATATGAGGAACAATGCTAGAATCCTGTGGTTCACGCGTTTCCATTAGCTCAGATTTCAAGGCCCCCTGAGAATCTGGCAAAATCAGACTATGACTCAGAGACTCAGAGGGAGAGAGAAAGAAAAAGAGAAATGCCAGGAATGGTAAAACACAAAGCTAAAATGCTATTCGAATGTAAATGTTGCCCATTACGGAAAGTCTTTTTTTCTTTAGCCCAAAAAGTATCTCCGATTGCAAAGTTTCCGATGCTCTGTTCTGTATCAGCCATCACAATTCAGATCTCAGACATTTTACCTTGAGATGAACCACGCCCACCGTTTTCTGGAGCTTTCGCCTGTCCCCCCTCGGAACCCGATTGCTCGAAATCTCTCCGATCAATCTAACGTCGTCGTTTGGGGTAAGAAGGTTCAGATTCTCCGGCCGGCGGATCTTCGCGTACGACAATACGCCATTGCGGAGGAGGAACCACCTCGAT